GAAAAGAAGAAGAAGAAGAATGAAAAAGAAGAATGAAGAAGAAGAAGAAGAAGAAAAGAATGAAAAAGAAGAAGAAGAAGAAGAAAAGAAGAAGAAGAAGAAGAATGAAAAGAAGAATGAAAAGAATAAGAAGAAGAATGAAAAGAAGAATGAAAAGAAGAAGAAGAAGAAAAGAAGAAGAAGAAGAAGAATGAAAAGAAGAAGAAAGAAGAATGAAAAGAAGAAGAAGAAGAATGAAAAGAAGAATGAAAAGAAGAAGAAGAATGAAAAGAAGAAGAAGAAGAATGAAAAGAAGAATGAAAAGAAGAAGAAGAAGAATGAAAAGAAGAAGAAGAATGAAAAGAAGAAGAAGAAGATGAAAAAGAAGAAGAAGAAGAAGAAAAGAAGAATGAGAAGAAGAATGAAAAGAAGAATTAAAAGAAGAATGAGAAGAATGAAAAGAAGAATGAAAAGAAGAAGAAGAAGAATGAAAAGAAGAAGAAGAAGAATGAAAAGAAGAATGAAAAGAAGAAGAAGAAGAATGAAAAGAAGAAGAAGAAGAATGAAAAGAAGAATGAAAAGAAGAAATGAAAATGAAAAGAAGAAGAATGAAAAAGAAGAAGAAGAATGAAAAGAAGAATGAAAAAGAAGAAGAAGAAGAAGAATGAAAAGAAGAAGAAGAATGAAAAGAAGAAGAATTCCAGTACAGCAAAAAGTGTATCTGCAGAGAGCTCCGCTATTTCTGACAGTTCTCTGACAGTTCTGACAGTTCATTTACAGCGGTTGAAACATTGTATCTATTTATTTCCGAATAAAAACATCTGTATCCTAAATGGAAACAAATAGATACAATGTTTCAACCGCTGTAAATGAACTGTCAGAACTGTCAGAGAACTGTCAGAAATAGCGGAGCTCTCTGCAGTGACACTTTTGCCGGCTGATCGGGGAAAATTCGATTCGTGCATCTGAAGTTTGCTAAAATTCGGATTCGATGCGAATCAAATTTTTCCTAATATTCGAACGAATTCCACTTCGCCAAGTTCGATTCGCTCATCTCTAATTATCATCACTGACTAGTGCAGGTTTCAGGACTGTCTTCATATACCCTGGCTTCACTGCCTAGTAAATCATTAGCACAGCACCAGAATACAGGACTGAAGTAAACCTAAAGATTTCAATGCCTGCTCACATTCATTGGCCAGTGACTTACTAGCCACCAGAACCTACAGCTTTTAACTAAATCAGCAATGGCTCTCATATGTTTATCCTCACAGACCATTTAATTGTCACCAACATGTTTCCTTCATCATTTGTGTGAAAGAAGGACCTCAGAATGAATATTACTTATCTAGCCTTGTATTATAATAATATGTTATAATATTCTTGTATTATAATATTCTCATCCTACAAAATATCTTAATAAGTGATGATCTTATTTTATGTAGTACAGTTAATAGAGAACTGTAGTATACCCAATCATAGAAAGAAGAAAAAAGCTCTGCTAATAAAATAGCTTAATAATTTACTGCACATAAAAAAAATACAAAAGAATGAGTATGTTTCAAACATTGATATTTCAATGTTATTGCTGTATTAGATGGCTTGATAAATTTGTTACAGGGATAGCAAAACCAACACATTCTCTTCTATGATTGTCATAATGAAGACATACAGTATGTGATAATCCCATAAATAAGAAAAAAAAAGGAATTGTGGATTAATGATCTTGCCTATTATCAGCAAAGTTTGTGATAATTCAGTCTATCTTTGTTTGTCTGTAGGCTTAAAATGGACACAGTATACTAAGTAATTTGAAAGCCGCTTTATTTCTTGTTTGCACAAAATTAAATACATACATCATTCCAACAAATCTCTGCCACCAGATCATGAACTTTGGAAACGGGGAAAAAGAATTAATGGCAACGTATTTCATATTTGTGTTCCTACATTTACTAACTCAATTATTTTTCCACAAAGAATTTATAGCTTTAAAAAAATGTTGGTCAGCCTTTATTCAGGCAGAGGAGCTGTAACTGGAGGAATGACCTTGAACTACACAAAAACAAAGATAGAACCCATTATTTCTTCTAAAGGATGTCAGAATGGCAACAGGCCAGGTTGCAAGATATTTTTGATTCTCTAGCCAGGGGGCTGGTTTTATAAAGGTTGCACAGAGTCAAGAAAGCAACTGTAAAGATCTTATACAATAGAACTTTTGTTATATTAAGAACTACTTACCAAAATAAAGAAATTTCCTCGCACATTACCCGTTTTAAAATTTTTGTGGTTGTATACACTACATTGCCAAAAGTATTGGGACATCCCTGCAAATCATTGGCTTCAGGTGTTCCAATCACCTCTATGGTCACAGGTGTATAAAATAAAGCACCTAGGCATGCAGACTGCTTCTACAAACATTTCTGAAAGAATGGGACGCTTTCAGGAGCTTAGTGGATCCAAGCGTGGTACGTGATAGGTTGCCACCTGTGCAATAAATCCATCTGTGAAATCTCCTTGCTACTAAATATTCTACAGTCAACTATTAGCGGTATTATAAAAAAGTGGAAGCAACTGGGAACAACAGCAACTCAGCCACCAAGTGGTAGGTCACATAAAATGACAGAGCGAGGTCAGCACATGCTGAAGCACACAGTGCACAGAGGTTAACAACTGTCTGCAGAGTCAATATCTAAAAACCTCCAGACATCATGTGGCCTTCATATTAGCATATCAACAGTGCCTAGAGAGCTTCATGGAAAGGTTTTCCCTGACCGAAAAGCTTACATCACCAAGTGCAATGCAAAGCGTCGGATGCAATGGTGTAAAGCACGCCACTCTAGAGCAGTGGAGACGTGTTCTCTGAAGTGACCAATCATGCTTCTCTGTCTGGCAATCCAATGGACATGTCTGGGTTTGGCAGTTGCCAGGACAGCGGTATTTGCCTGACTGCATTGTGCCAAGTGTAAAGTTTGGTGGAGGGGGATTATGGTGTGGGGTTGTTTTTCAGGGCTTTGGCTTGGCCCTTTAGTTCCAGTGAAGGGAACTCTTAAGGCGTCAGCATAGGAAGACATTTTGGACAATTTCATGCTCCCAACTTTGTGGCAACAGTTTGGGGGTAGCCCCTTCCATGTTCCAACATCAGTGCACAAAGTAAGGTCCATAAAGACATGGATGAGTGAGTTTGGGGTGGAGGAAGAGTCCTGACCTCAACCAGATGGAACACCTTTGGGATGAATTAGAGCAGAGACTGGGAGCCAGACCTTCTCGTCCGACATCAGTGCCTGACCTCACAAATGCGCTTCTGGAAGAATGGTCAAACATTCCCATAGACACACTCCTAAACCGTGTGGACAGCCTTCCCAGAAGAGTTGAAGCTTTTATAGTTGCAAAGGGTGGGCCAACTCAATATTGAATCCTACAGACCAAGACTGGGATGCCATTAAAGTTCATGTGCGTGTAGAGGCAGGCGTCCCAATACTTTTGGCAATATAGTGTATGTTGAAATGTACTCTATGGTATAGAATATGGTTTTCTGTCTTCCAGTTACTTTCACAGTTTTGTTACATGTTCAGTGAAACATTCTAATCCTTTCATCCATCTATGAAGATACCTAGTTGGTGGTATGACCAATTGATGGTCCCTGATGACTGTTTTGAGAAACTCTGATCTACGTTGACAAGCTTTCAGGGAGTAGATGTTTCAGGCCGGTTGATGTTTTATTGGTTTATCATGTTTCTTTTTATATGACTTCTATATGAAATGTCTGGCCAGGCATATCTGCATTTATATACTGCTAGATACTGCCTCAAATAATAATAATAATAATAATTGTATGATGTGGTGTCAACTGTAGGCAAGGATGAAGGAATATGTTCTAGGGACCACTGAGTAAAACATTTTCTGTGTGCATTAGTGAACATTTGTAGATATCTAATGTTTATTTGCATGTAACAGCTGACTTTACTTAGCCCCTGGGGATGTCTGACAATATTTCTAGTTGCTGTATCTCTTAGCATATTTGTAAAATATAGGGAGAGATCCATATGCTTGCACTACCATGCTGCAAAGGACTGGATGTGTACTCGTTATGTTAGGCATTCTGCTGAAGTCACACACACGTCTAATAAACCCTAAATAGACTAAAAGGGAGTTAGCTAGTTGGTAGAAATATATAATTTCTATTACTTGAGAGGAGTTCTCTTCCTTTTTCCCTTTAAAGAGGTTTCTCTGAAAAAAATAAGAAACAGTTCATTTGTATCTCCTTCGCTGCAAACCTAACAGTAGACTACTGGTATTTATGTATTGATGCTACAGCTGTCTTCTCTTGTTTTTTTTTCCTGAGTTTTAACATTCATATTATCATGTTATATTATCATGTCTATAGGTCTGTGTATATAAAGTGAACACATTATTATATATGTAGTTGGTTTTGGGCTCTATGTTTAAGTCAAATGTAAGTTTGACAAGAACATCGGACATCTGTGTGTTCGCTGAACACACAAACGGTAAAGGCGTTTGGCGGGCTATTCGTCTGCCAAGTACCCCATAATGCACTGCGCTCTCTCAGCGCATTGTGAGAGCCATGATTGGCCAAAGCAATGCACCTGACATGACCACAGGTCCTCATGCTGACAGGGACAAGGGCTTCTTCCCAACAACCCTGGCCCGTTGGTTGTGGGGGTCTGTGGGTAGGGAGGCTCATTAGCATCAGGGTACCCCTTTAAATAAGGGTGCACCCTGATGCTGCCCCCCCTTGTGAATAAAAAGGTTACATTTAGAAAAAATAAAGATGCCATTTTGAAAAATGCCTTTAATTACTGATACAGGGCAGCACGTGTGTAAAATCACACATTAGTATGTGATTTTTCTGTTCCAGATGGGGGCCTCGCAGCCTCACCTGTCAATCACCGGGTCCAGGACGGTGATTCCCCACCAGCACCTGGCGATCTCTGAGGATTTCCGATGGGCGAAAGATCTGTATGTAAACAATATAGATCTCTCCCCTCTCAGCTTCTGCACACTGCTTTGTATGGTTCTGCATAGCAGTGTGCTTGCAGTGTAAAGCACACACAGCCCACATTGTAAAACAGCACACAGTTAACCCTTTGATTGCCCCATATGTTAACCTTTTCCTGCCCAGTGCCATTAGTGCAGTCAGTGCATTTTATTAGCACTGATCACTGTATTGGTGTCACTGGGGATATCAATGACACCACGTCAGTTCCCCCCCAGTGTCAGAATGCCTGCCGCAGTCCTGCTATAAGTCGCTGATCACTATCACTACTAGTGAAAAAAACAATTAATTTACAAGTATTGGGATATTTTTAGCAAAGACATATAGCAGAATACATTTTGGCTTAAATTTATGATGAAATTTGATTTTTTATTTTTTTTTTTACTGGGCATGTTTAATAGCAAAAAGTCAAAAATATAGTTTTTTTTCAAAATTGTCAGTCTGTTTTTGTTTATAGCACAAAAAAAAAATAAAAAAAAGCACACAGGCTATCAAATACCACTGAAAGAAATCTCTACTTGTGGGAAAAAAAAGGACGTAAATTTCATTTGGGTGCAGCGTTGCAAGACCACGCAATTGTCAGTTACTCATGGTGGGGACAATTGGCAGCATTGTAGTAGGTGGCTGCAGCCAAGGTTTTTGTGTGCAGAGCTCGCATATACAAGGAAAGCATCAGCTTCATAAGAGTAAACATGACACTAAATGATGACACGGAATGTTTCCTTGTTCTCTGAAAATAATTCATAAACATCCATTGTTTAATTACCTCCTTTTGCCCTCACTTCCATCTCTCATTTGCTGCCATGTACACTGCTCTATTCACACAACAAACCCCATAATTCATAGTCCTAGTCCAGGGGTGTCCAAACTATGGCCCTCCAGGTGTTGAGGAACTGCAAGACCCATGAGGCCTTGCAAGACTCTGACATCCACAGGCAAGACACCCAGAGGCATGATGGGACTTGTAGTACTTCAACAGCTGGAGGGCCATAATTTGGACACCTCTGCCCTAGTCTATCTCAAGCAAGAGTGGGTGACTACATTCCTACATACCATGGCACCATGGAGAACTTATGTAGCCACCCTCTAACAGGAAACCATATTACAGTAGTACAAAGAAAAGGGAATTTTGAGATATGGAGGAGGCTGAGAGTAATAGAAGGTACTTTTTAAAGCTAAACATACATACTTGAACATCAACAGGATTTTGTATCACTTTAAGTCCACTCCCACCTATTTCACAATAAGAGTATGTATGTAGGATTTCCCATCTTCAAACCAAATTGCCTCTGTGAAGGTTGCTTCTGTCCCCAGCATTGTTGGAGGGCAAGTTGTTTCTTTTCCTACACTAGATCGTCACGATGAACACCAGTCTTCTGGGAGGTGGAATTTTGTGTCTTTTGTCTGGTTAGGGTTATTGGTCCCAGTAGAAATCAAAGCTTTCAACAAACAACCTAGAGTTGTGAGCCAGCCATCTGTCATGTCTTCACTAGCCCCCCTGCCTTCTGACAGGTAATCTTATCAATAGAACAATGCCACGGTGATGACTTACATCAATCACGGCGGTTCCAGGGGTATTAGATGTGTTGCAGTGATGATGAATCTTTCATATCCTGGGTGAGATTTTATGTTCCATCGATCAATTTATCAGCAAACATCTGTCCCTGTGGGAATGGTCTCTTTATCTGGATGTATTCTTAGATATCAAGAAGCTGGACAGGTTTCTTTATGGGATACAGAGCTCAGCTGTGGGCTGGTAGTGCCCTGGGATCAGTATACCCTAATCTATTTACCCTTATCTATTTATTCCTACACTGAAACTTTTTGCTTTTCTACTATGAAGGCTAGAGGCTCTTAACATTCCAGTCATTCTCATAGCTCCACATTGGTCAAATATGATGTGTTATGAAGACCCCATTTCTCTGTTAGCCAACATGAAGTGGCTACCCTAAGATGTTGGCCATATTTTTTACCTTTAGGGCAATTTTCCAACCAGCTTCTCATTTACTATCTTTGGCAGCCCAGCTGTTAAAACCCGATTCTGAGAGATGGGGTATTTTGGATTCTGTAGTTAGGACCGAGCTATCTTGAAAACTACTTCTAAGGTTTTTCTTCAAAAGTCAAAGTCTTCTATTCTTCTTCTTGATATTCTATTTCTTCTTCTCCTGCAAAATCTATTTCTTCTTTTTCTTCGTAGTCAATTTATTGTCAAATCGGCCAGAAGAACAGCCAATTTGACCATAAATTACCGCGAAAATCGGCCAATCTAACAAATCGGCCCAGGATTCTCCACCTTGGACGATTTTCAAAATCTCTTAAAATTAAGAAAAACGGACAACATTTTTCCCCACTAACAGTACGAATATTGGCCGATTTTTTTATCGGCTGATAATTCGGCAAGAAAATCGGAAATCTATGGCCGCCTTTATTTTCTCTGGTGTAATCTCATGAGTGTTCCCATCAAGTCCTTTAGTTTGGCTGTTTTCCTTTTTTTTTTTTCCTTCAATTTAAGGTAGAATAAAATTTGGTCTTCAACACAATCAAAGGTTTTGTGTTTGCCCCATTTGTTGTCTTTTAGTATCCTCTTACTATTCTTTCACTGATTTGTTCTTTTAAAAAGGGAGTTACACACATCAACCCGCTATTAAGCCTTCACTCCAACCATGGCATTTATATCTGGCACTATCAGAGTTACAAAAAGTTTGCATGTTTTCCATTAAAAATATGAAACAGCATATAATGCTGTGAATATTTTTTTCCCCACATAGCTATATTGTCAGTGTTTGAGCTGCTAGGGAAAGCTTTTGGTTCTGTTCAGGGAGAGGTACTGTCGGGGATCGTCGCGCCGCTGGTCCCGGCGCAGGCGCAGTACACCTCCCTGTACGCGAGCGCCGGGACTTGGCCGACCGCGGCAATCAGGTTCGCGCATGCGCAGTAGTGACCGCGGGCGCGCGCCTGGCACCAATGACAGCGCAGGGCGGGATATTTAAACGGCCCTGAGCTGTCATTCAGTGCCTTTGGTCTTTTGTATCCTGTGAACCTGTGAACCTGTCTGAAGTAAGTTGCTGACCCGGATTGTGCCCTGACCTTGCTGTTTTCTCCTGTTTTGACCCTTGCTTGCCTGACCTCTCTCCTGTATGCCCCCTATTGGATCTGACCTGCTGTTGCTGACCTGGCGTGTGACCCGACTATTCTCTGCCTGCTGCTCTGTACCGCACCGTCCCCATAGTTACCGACCCGGCTTGTATGACCCTGCTCCTGCTCAGCCATCCATCCATCCATCCATCCGTCCCTCTCTACGGGGTCTCCAGACCTCCTCATACCTGGCTCTCTCCCGTGGGAGCCCCTGGCGAATACCCCTACCACTGACGGGTGTCCTCAGTAGTCACGACCTGGTCCTGGGGTACTCCAAGTCCATCCCCACCATCAGGGGCCCTGGTGAACAAGTACCCTGGGGCTTAGATTCCGTGCGCTGGGAACATCCGACCAGTGGAGTGCTAGTGGTACCGCCGGGCGGTCCCTTACAGTACCAAAAGGCCATGACTGAGCCTAGAGGAGGGCCCTCCCCGTTAGAGGAAATTTGCAGGCACCTAGCTACTTTGACGCAGGCCGTAACGGTCCTGCAGGACAGATGCATGCAGCTGGAGAATCGCATCCAGACTGGCTCTATTTCTGATCCTGCCCCACAGGCCCCGGTTTCTGCACCCCCGGCCCTGGTAGCTCAGGAGCCAGCCTCAGGGGCTTCCGCCCCGCTCCCTATGGTAGAACCCCGAGTACCCCTACCGGAGCGTTTTCACGGGGACCGCACACGCTTCCGGTCATTCCGCGACTCCTGTCTCTTGTTCTTTGAGCTACAACCCCGTACCTTCCTGACCGAAAACGTGAAGGTAGGATTCATTATTTCACTACTACAGGGTGAACCCCAGGATTGGGCCCACCGGCTAAGGGGAAACAATGATCCTCACCTGGGATCGGTCAATAGTTTCTTTGAAGCAATGGCCATCTTGTATGATGACCCACAGCGGGCAGCCTCTGCCGAAGCGACCTTATATGCGCTCCGACAGGGCCGGCGGGCGGCAGAGGAATACGCCTCTGATTTCAGGCGGTGGATGGGGGACACACGCTGGAACGAGTTCGCTCTATTGCACCAGTTCCGTATGGGACTCTCCGATCCCTTGAAAGATGAGCTGGCCCGGGTGGAGGTTCCCGAGTCTCTAGAAGACCTTATTGCCCTGACAATTAAGATTGACCGAAGACTGCGGGAACGCAGGCTTGAGAGGTCCGGCCAGGGTCGCGGAAATACCTGGGGTCCATTCCTAGGCCCCAGCCCACCAACCCGACAAAGCATCCAGAACCCACCACCAGGAGATGTTCCGGAACCTATGCAGCTAGGTCTGGCACGGCCTAAATTATCACCGGAGGAACGCCAGCGCAGACGAGCCCAGAACCTCTGCCTTTACTGCGGTGAAGCTGGTCATATGGTGCGATCCTGCCCTCAAAAAATGAGTAAGTGCACCCGTTTTTCTTCTTCCTTGTCTATTAGCAATACCTGTCCTTCGCAATACTTAGTAGTGCCCCTCTCCTTTCAGCTTCCAGGAAAGATCGTGGAGGTGACAGCCATAGTTGATTCGGGGGCATGCAGCTGTTTCCTGGATCTAGAGTTTGCTCACCAACAAGGTATCCCTCTCCAACACAGACAGAAGGGCTTCAACATCTTTTTGGCTGATGGTTCCCAGATAAAATCGGGGGTAGTTAATCAGGAAACTCCCCCCATTGCCACTATCATTGCCAACCAGCACCAGGAGTTCCTCCGCCTGGACGCTATTGCATCACCTCTTTTCCCAGTCATTCTGGGGCTCCCATGGTTACGGGCCCATAACCCCCAGATTGACGCGGGGGAGACCGGGTCGTCCCGTCTCCACGGGAATCTTCTTCGTGAGAAAAAAGACTGAAATTGGGGGCCCTGAGGACAGCCCAGAAGGGATTTGTCCACTTCTGATCTTCTACCCTGAGACCTTGTATTGACTACCGGGAGCTGAACAGGGTCACGATAAAAAATCGTTACCCATTGCCATTGGTACCCCAGAACTGTTTCAGAGCCTAAAGGCTGCGGCTATTTTCACAAAGCTTGATTTAAGGGGGGCCTATAACCTGGTACGCATAAGAGAGGGGGACGAGTGGAAAACTGCTTTCCGTACCCGGTTTGGCCACTTTGAATACTTGGTCATGCCATTTGGGCTGTGCAATG